TTTTCAATATGAACACCGACGCATGAATAAATTACTTGGCACAACTTATTTTCGTTACGGATTCCAATGTGCACATTTTTGTAAAATATTTTCTGCTGGGTAATTGCAAAGGTGGGTGACTTGACGTTATCTAGGTCCAAAGTTCAGTATTTTTTCTTTATCCTATTCCTGCGCACAGGTGGTAAACAGAGAAGTGGAACAGGTAGTAAAGTTCGCATAACTCAGGGTTGTAATCACTGGTGATGGAAAATGGGAGGAAAAGATCAACCGGCTAATTGGAATAGCCAGAGGAGGAGCAGTGGAGCATGTGAAGTTTAAGTAATTTGGAGTTGTGTTTACTTGTGATGGAACATGCAATGAAGTGATCGTCCTGAACTGGAATTCGCAGCTGCATTCTGTGCCAACCCAAACGATCGTAGCTAAGAGTAAGAGATGAGTCTGACTACCAAACTATGTTCAAGTCGATTTTCATCTCCATATTCGCCTGTGCTCATGAGTCATCGGCAAAGACTGAGAAACTGAGATCTCAAGTTAAAGCTGTTGAAATCGCTTTGAGAGGTTAATCTCTGGGCTCATGCTTCTTGAAAGAGCCTGCAGTTTAGTTGTTCGAGTAAGTCTTAGTGCACGGCCATTGATACTTCACAGCTGTTGAGTTTCGGCCGAAGACAACTTGAGGCTGGAATATAGTCTGTCGAGACACTTGCTCCAGGTCATTCTTGGCCGTCCCCGGGGTCTTGAGCAAACTGTTGTTTCGTCTTTCTTCCCTGAAGCACTCGCAAGACGTGTCCAAACGGTCGCAGCGCGCTGGCACAGGATCGAGGACGTTAGAGGCACTCTTTGACGTCATTCGGTACGCGACTCAAAAGGACAAGCGGTCGTAGAAACCGACTGACTGACTACTTGTTCGAGCGATGTGGTTGAAATCTGACGACTGCAATGGTATGGTTAAGTTACTGAAGATCAGTCTGACTAGCCATAAATTCGATACTCTCTGTCTCTTTGAAGAAGGGTGAAATTAGGACCACATAAGAATTATTGCATTCTTTAAGCGTGTCTTTAGGCTGCTAATTATTAATGTACCTTTATGCGACCAAATTTGCTTCGAACTTCAGTTAACGTTTGCTGTTGTCCTCCTGTGAACCGTTATCTTTGTTTTGTTTGTGACATTTTATAACCTTCAAGTATAATTATCAACATTCCGTACAGGTCAAAATGCAATTTTTGTAAGCAGTGTTATCTGTCGGTTTGGATCAACATGCTTCAACAAGTATGACCCATTTATAGGCATCCTTGTTTTCACAATAAGTTTATCTATGGCAGAGTCATTGTTATGATCACGAATAGTTCGTGATAGGCCTGCTGTCAAACTATGTCAGAGGCGGCATTACGGCATTAACGTAAGAAAATTTATATTAACTTGCGAGGGCTGGCGGAACGTTGAAACCTGGTCCTAAATTCATGACATGAGTTATGAAAAGAAAAAAATCTTTTCGCGAAATCAGTACGTTCGGCAGCGAAAATATTCCTCACTGAGTTTTGTGTTTTGATTCGCAGTTAAAGTAACAAGCGCCGGAAAGATGGCTACTGTTCAAGGCTAGTTATGTGGTTGAACCATTCGAATTTTTATCCCAACGTATATTTCTTGAATTACCGATTTGCATCTGTTAGCTATCTTCGTAAACCATGAGTAACCTTGATTTACTTGCTGATCTAAGCGTATATACAGCAGAAGGTTTTCGTACCACGAAGTACGTCAGATTGCGAATGACTCGTCCTAGGCTAAATTTCATGACTTACTGCCCCCCGCCATCTTTGGTCGGAGTCGAAGAAGAATATATGATGAATAAGTGCTCAATAATTTGGTTCTGTACAGTGAAACGCATGACAACATATCCATTTTGTAAGCAGAAGAAACGACTGCTACTAGCGACTGATACCTCGTCGGATGGCGAAACAAAACGTGTTAATCTAAAAAACAGGTAACAAAGGTGCAATGACTAGTTGAGTGCTTTATATTGAACTTTTAACGCCGGTTACCTTCGTCGCAAACCTGATTACGGAAAGTGCAGAAGCGCCAGCTTATAGACTAACACTTAACTGACAAGTGGAAAAGCCGTAGACGGTTCACAAGGAAAACTTGTAGCTGACTAACGTGGAAATAAAGTCATCAAAATTCTGCTTTCGCTAAAAAGTTACTTGCAAAGGTAAACATCTATCCCATCTATCCTACTCTTTCTGCGGCAATGAGTCATTAGATAAGTACTGGCAAGACATAGTAAACAGGAAGCAGTAAAAACTACCAAATCAACAATTACTGCACGTTCATATCGCAGGCTCATGATGTGAAAGAAGTTGAACTAATTTCCTCTAACTTTGTCCACAGTGATTTGTGGCCAGTCATCATGCAGTACTTTCCGTATCATTTGCGCTATC